AAAAAAAAATTTAAGTTTGTTTTTAAAAAATATTTTCAATTTCAAAATTTCAATTTTTTACCCCTACCCTCAACCCACCCCCTACCACCCCCCAAAAAAATTTAAATTTATTTTTAAAAAATATTTTCAATTTCAAAAATTATTTTCTACCCTAGTAAAAATAAAAGATATTTCTCAAAAAAAAAAATCATTCATAAATCAAACACTAGAAAAAAATTTCGGAAAATATTTTCTACTCACCAACCAAATATGAGAAAATAAATCAAAAATCAAAAATCAAAAATCAACTTGTTTTCCAGGTTGTTTTCCAGGAAAACATTGTCCTTCGTACCAAACACACCCTTAATGTCATCTCTTTTGCAGTGGACTTGGGCAGCTACAATCTTGCAAAGTTCAATGTAGCTTGGGAGTATGGAATTAGTGGACCCTTTTGGTATGCAAGTGGAGCTACTATTCAGGTACGTCTAAATCATTCTTCGATATTCTTGACCTCAGGAAGATAAATTTTTCGAGTTGCTTTTAACAGGTCCTCCTTTTTGGTGTGATCGCGATAGAGATCAAAAGAAAAGCCCCTTATGCTCATACTGTCTGTGAAATCGTAAAAGCAAGGTTCGTGGTGAACTGTACTAAAGATGAAGATGATTCTGCTGTATCCATATAGTCTGTTGACTGTTATTTACTCACAATTTCAGATGGGGAACTGCTGCACATCTGGTTTTTCTGGGGTTTTGCTTCTTGACAAACATTATAGTAACAGCCACGTTGCTTCTTGGTGGCTCTGCTGTCGTCAATGCACTCACTGGTGCTAACATATATGCTGCAAGTTTCCTTATCCCTCTCGGTGTTGTAGTTTACACCTTAGCAGGAGGGCTAAAAGCTACTTTCTTGGCTAGCTATATACATTCCGTCATAGGTATCTAATTTAAGCTCTCTGTATCAGCTTTACTCTTTTTCACGCGCTCATCTAAGAGAATTTCCGGTAATTGATTTCAGTACACGTGGTTTTAGTCATCTTTGTGTCAGGGGCAGCTCAAACTCATTGATGGCCTAAGGCTAAAATCAAATTAGAGGCCTTAAAAAAAAATTTAAAAAATTATAAATTTAAAATATAAACTATCAATAGAACAAGTAAATTCTTAAACTTTGAATAAGAGAGATAAAAAAAATAGAAGATAAGAAGAGAGGAGGATAGAATATATAAAAATAAAATTAAAAAAAGAATAAGATAAAAAAAAAGAAATAACTTGTACATTAAAAAAAAAAAAGTACACAACTTTTTATTCAAAAGGTAAAAAGTAATTGTCATATCCATCACTTCATTAATGCCATTTGCATTTATTGTCTTAGTTCTATTTTTTTATTTTTTTTTAGTTTAATCCTACCTAATTAACTAAAAGATGAGGCCCCCTAAAATTGGGGGCCTAAGGCAAATGACTTTTTTTTAACCCTTACCAGCCGCCCCTGTGTGGTTGTTGATTTCAGTACACGTGGTGTTAGTCATCTTTGTGTACCTAGTATACGCTGCAAGCAGTGAACTTGGCAGCCCAAACATCGTTTACAGACGTTTATTAGAAGTAGCAAGCAAGTCAAGAAGCTGTCAAGAGCCAATCTCTCATGTAGGACAATCTTGTGGCCCTGTTACTGGGAATTTCAAGGGGTCTTATGTTACTATGTTGAGTTCAGGTGGTCTCGTCTTTGGTATCATCAACATCGTTGACAATTTTGGCACAGTTCTCATTGACAATGTAAGTTTTTTCTTTCCGTATGATATAGCAAGAAACTAGCTTATGGTAAGTTTCTGCAACAATCCTGATATCAGAAATATCGAAATGTTAGGGATATTGGGTAAGTGCAATTGCTGCAAGACCATCATCAACACATAAGGGCTATTTGTTGGGTGGTTTAGTTTGGTTTGCTGTGCCATTTTCCTTGGCAACATCACTAGGTCTTGGAGCACTGGCTCTTGATCTACCGATAACAGCAAGTGAGGCTAGCCACGGACTTGTTCCTCCAGCTACAGCTATTGCTTTGATGGGAAAAGGAGGATCAATTCTTCTCCTCACAATGCTCTTTATGTAAGTGCCTAATCAAGAATTACGCGTGGAATATGTTCTGTTAACTGTCAATTACATGACTTCTTCTGTATTGATTAGGGCTGTTACATCTGCTGGTTCATCTGAGCTAATCACGGTCTCTTCATTAGGTACATATGACATCTATCGTACATACATCAACCCGGAAGCAAATGGAAAACAAATCCTAAAAGTCTCAAGAGTTGTCGTCTTAGGCTTTGGCTGTTTCATGGGCATTTTAGCAGTAATTTTGAACAAGGCTGGTGTTTCTCTAGGTTGGATGTATTTAGCTATGGGAGTTTTCATAGGATCAGCTGTTATCCCAATAGCCTTCATGCTTTTATGGCGAAAAGCAAACAGTTTTGGTGCAATCCTAGGGACAGTTATTGGCTGTTTGTTAGGTATTACAACTTGGTTATCTGTCACTAAGATCGAGTATGGAAGAATAGACCTTGACACACCTGGTAGAAATGCACCAATGCTAGCAGGAAACCTTGTTTCCATACTTACCGGTGGAGCTATTCATGCTGTTTGCAGCTTTTTAAGACCTCAGAATTATGATTGGGAGACTACAAAACAGATCACTGTGGTTGAAAAGGAAAAGAGTGAAGTACCACCTGAAGAATTCAGAGAGGAAAAACTCAACAGTGCCAAAGCCTGGATAATCAAATGGGGCATCGGTTTCACATTCGTTATAGTAATTCTCTGGCCTATTCTTACACTTCCTGTGGGTAAGTCGAAAAAACTCTTTCTTCTGCTTCAGTGTATAATATCACAGTATGAGTACTCGATGATTAACTAAGTTGCAAACTTGATAAAGCAGGGCAATTTAGCAAGGGATACTTCACATTCTGGCTATAATATCTGTTGTATGGGGCACAGTTGGATCAGCAGTGTGCTTAATGGTATGTTCACAAATGACAGAGTTATGGGAAAATTAGAAGACTTGAACTCCAAACTGAATGCATTTATTGTAGCAATGCCTGAAGTAGAGAGGGTGTATTTACTTGAGAAAGAAAGGAGCAAGAAAAAGGAAGTAGCAGAATCTGATCAGATTGTTGCTTCACCAAGTCATTGAATTTCCAGATAAAACAAGTGTATCAGTGTGTATTTAAAGTCTAAAAAGATCCAAAGACAGCTCTTCGTCCACGAGCAAAATATTTAGGCCTTTCCATATAAAGAGGCGAATCTAGAATTTTAAATATAATAGATTTCAATCTTTGAAGTGTATAGGACTGAACTCATTGTATATATTGTGTGTCAAAATAAGGCTAATCTGTCACAGATACATACTGCCATGTCTTGTATGAATTTACTTTAATTAGTCTGTTTAAACATTGGAAGGACTCGAGATAACTTTGTCCACGAACCAAATGACTTTGCGGAAATAAATTTAGACAACATAGTGACTTGTTCAAGTGACATTTAGCTACCTGATAACATTTTTGATATATGTCAAAAGTTGTGAAAGCTGTCATGCCAATACACATTAGGCTGCTTCTCATTAGCAAAAGGTAGCATGATAACACAATTTTCCCAACTGAGTTCAAACATTATAATAAAATGTTAAAACTTCCAAAAGGGGTTTATGGAAATTTTTGATTGGTTTCATCTATAAACCAAACAACAAAACAAGAAACTCGAAAAGCAACCAACAAGTTGCATTGTTGTAGTCCATCAGAACTCAATGTTCAACCATTTAGTGTAGTAGACACAGGTTTTCGGAGATATAATTCCATCAGGTGTACATACACTAATCCTAGGGCAAGCACCACATGGAATCGAAGCCATTGGCCCTATTGTTTTCGGACCTGAAGTATCTCCAACTGCAATTCTGTAACAAACAGATCCAATAGGAATAGAATGATACTCTCCCAATCCAGTACTCTTTACCTATATAATGGCATCGTCCAAAACCATAGAGTTCAATATTTCCCCGACTTGTTGACTTGTGCAGCACTCAACAACTTTCCGTTTCTTCAAAAAGTCATGGATCCCATCCACAGTAGCAACTTTCATCATTCCTAAAACCTTGAGGCACGTCTCTCTAAGAACAGTGATGAATTCCTTGTCTCTTGAAAATAAATTAGCATCCACTACATCCATCACTCTATCGGGTAATGATTCAAACACCCATCTCTTCAAGCTGAGTTCTCCAACGAAAAGATCGTCCATGGGCTTCTTTCTTGTAAAGGTCTCCATTAACATGATACCATAGCTATAAACATCTCCCATGGTTGACACTAAGCCTTCTGATCCATATTCTGCAAACATACGCCATATATTTATCTTCTAAATCAATAGCAAAATGAATCGTGTTGTTTCTTAACTACACAATGAGACAAATTAACATAAGAAAGACTTGATAACAGTTGTATACCTGGTGCCATGTAGCCAATAGTGCCTAGCGTCTTCGTTTGTGCTATCAATTTATCAGCTGTCATAAGTTTGGATATACCAAAGTCACTGACTCTTGCAACCATGTCTCCATCCAAAAGTATGTTACTTGGTTTTAGATCACAATGTACAACAACAAAAGAATGACCTTCATGTAAATATTCCATTGCAGAAGCCACATCAATCATGACCCTCTATCTTTGGTTTAAATCCAAAAAGTTGTTGTGAGAGTAAAGCCAAGCATCAAGGTTTCCATTTGGCATGTACTCTAGAACCAATGCTTTAAAATCAAGATTAGCACAACTACTTATCACCTTAACAAGATTTCTATGGCGAATGTTACGCAAAACCTCACACTCCAAATCAAATCTTCTAAATGCATCTTGTACTTCTGTGTTGAAAACCTTTACAGCAACGATAATTCCATCTTGGAGTGTTCCTTTGTACACTAGACCAAGGCCTCCCCTGCCAATCAAATTGGCTTCATCAAAGTTGTTTGTCCCTCGAACAACTTCATAGTAAGAGATCCTCTGATGGGATTGACCAATCAAATCTGGTATAGGAGGTTGTTTATTCTTTTTTGGTATTTCAGAAACCAAACCATGAAAATAGTTGTGACTACTAATGCTACTGCAACTGATGCAAGAGCAAAAGTTAAAGCCTTCCTTTTGTTTTTTCTTTTCATGCCACCAATTCTGCATTCCGCCACATTGAATTGAGATGGTCCACACAATTCAGCATTCCCCATGAAAGATGCAGCCAAATTAGCAAAAGGTCCTCCATTTGGAATCTTACCAGTGAGTGCATTGAAAGACACATTAAGATAGCTAAGTTGTTTAAGATTCACCAGAGACTCGGGGATCATTCCTGAAAAGGTTATTTCCGGATAAATCCAAGTATGCAAGAGCAGTCAAGTATCCGAATGATTGAGGTATAAGACCTTCAAAATTATTCATCTACAGAGAAAGATTCACCAAATTCTGTAGTTGTCCCATTGTGCTTGGAATTTCTCCCGAGAATTGATTTCTTGATAAATTTAAATTGCTTAGACTCCTCAAACTTCCTATTCCAATAGGCAGAGAACCATTGAGAAAATTGGAGGACAAATTCAGAGTTGATATACCGATGTTACTCCAAAAAGTTGGAGGAATATTGGAACTCAATGCATTGGAATCTAAAAAGAGTTCTCTTAAAGAAGAAAGATTTCCCAAACAACTTGGTATTTCATCTGAAAGCTGATTTTCACTCAAGTCAAGTCGAAATAAGACCTCCATATTGCATAAGCTTTCTGGTATGGTACCATTTATTTTATTTTTCCAAAGTGTCAACTTTTGCAATTTCCTCATGTTTCCCAATTCATGAGGAATTGAACCACTCAAACGATTCTTTCCAATGCCTAACCACACCAAGTTACTCAACTTACTGATTTCAACAGGGATTTCACCTGTGATGTTGTTTCCAGAGGTGATGAATACGTCAAGAGAATCAGACCAATTACTGAAGGCTAAGGACTTTGGAAAAGTTCCTCTGAATGCATTATATCCTAGTTGTATACGCTTCAAGTGCTTGCAGCTCGATAGGGAAGTAAGGAAACTTAATTCCCTTGTGGAAGGATCATTTGTCAGTTGATTCCACTGCAAGTTGATCACTTCAAGCTGCTGCAAATTTCCAAGATTCATCGGCACATCCCCACTAAGAAAATTGTGGCCCAAATCAAGGAAAGTGAGCTTGGAAACATTTGAAATGGAGCTAGGAATTGTCCCACTAAACTGGTTCAACCCAAGATAAAGGACATTAAGATTTGGAAATTTATGGGCAAAGTTAGAAGGTAGACTTCCAGAAAGCTCATTAGCTGCAAGCGCGATCATTTCTAACCCAGAAATGTCATAGAAAGAGTCTAGAATTTGACCTGATATATTGTTTGAACCAAGATATATTTCTTTCAGATTGACAAGTTTTGCAAATTCTGTAGGAATGTTTCCATGAAGATTATTAGCACCAATATCTAACATCACCAAAGTCGACAAATTCCCCATAGAAGGTGGAAGAGTTCCAACCAATTCGTTTTTTCGAAAACTTAAATGTTGAATTGCTGGAAGATTCTGAATTTCACTTGGAATGTTTCCTGAAAGTTATATCACATTTTTGGAGTTGCTAGACACTTAAGAGCCAAGTTCTTATCTTGTAAATTAAGGAGAACTAGATCAAACGGAAAGGCAATGCACACACAAACGTATTTAGTGTTTTGTCAGCAAAACGGATAGTAAGATTGATATCAGTGTAGACATCCTATACTATAATTTCATTTCCAACACAAGAACCTTACAAAATCTGGCGGTTGTTTAATCTTCCGTCTATTTGACTTAGGAAAGTCCTATGAACCAGCAACTTTCACTAACGCATTTGCATTTCTGTTTTAAGAAAGAGATCTTAAAGAGTAAAATTAGTTTAAGATTACAAGTTTAAAAATCTTCTTTACTTTCTTAAATTCCATGTCAAGTCAAAACCAGATAAACAAATTGAAACGGAGAGAGTATTACTTTCTGAGGTTGTCACATGGACATATATATGACCTATATTGAAAATGATTGTTTCAATAAGGGGTTGCTCTAGCAATGTAGTTATATAAGAGGATCCCAGGTTGTTAGTTGATGGTTGCTCTTATGGTCTTTTTAAAACATTCTGTATTCGTTAAACGCTCCATATATATAGAGTTACCTGTCAATTTATTCCATCCAAGAAACATATCTTGAAGCTTTGACATGTTCCCCATTTACTCGGGGTAAATTTCCTATTAATTAAGAATACAATATACAGGAAAAAATACAATGATCAATTCAAGAAGAAGGGAAAAAAAAAAGGAAATAAGAAGTACAAGTTAGTTAATTACCTGTGAATCTGTTATAAGACAAGGACAGAGCTAAAAGTTGGGTGCATTTATCTAAACGACTAGGAAGTTCACCCACTAAACCATTGTTACCCATGAATAAATATTGCAGCATTGGGAGATTACTGCACATGTCATTTGGCAAATTCCCACTTAGATCATTCAAATTCAAATCAATGATCTTTAAAGAAGAGATATTGAAGATAGATGATGGAACATATCCATATAGGTCATTTTCAGAAAGATCCAGTACTTCAAGCCTCGAAAGAAATCCAAGGCTTTGTGGGATTTCACCAGTGAGATTATTCATTTGCAAGGACAAGTACTTGAGTCTCATTAGACGGCCAAGTTCATTGGGAATTACACCATTAAAAGTGTTGCCAAAATCCAAGAAACTAAGGAAGGAAAGGTTCCCTATTTCTTTCGGAATGGACTCTCTTAATCTTAGACTCTTGAGGTTTTGTGAGACAACTCTATGATGCCGTGTGCTACAAGAAACACCAATCCAACTGCAAACTTCTGTCCCTTGTGTCCAGTTTTTTATCAGAGTTTCATCGGGGTCATTGGTTATTTGTGCTATGAAGACTAATAGAGCTGATTCGTCAGTAAAGTTTGTCCTTGAAGCAGATATATTGATGCAGTAGATTAGTAAAAGGAGGCCTGTCATCGCGGCCCTTGCCATCATTATTTTTTTAAGAACCAAAGTATTTGATAGGGGTATGAAGGAAATTAAAATGCAAAAGCAGAAAAGAAGTTCTTAATATGCATTTCCTCCTTTCAAGTATCCAACTTTATATAATGGGCGTCGCTTGGATACAATCGCCTTTTGTGTAATCCAGTTAAAAACATCTTTATTTTGAATGTTAGAAGGGATAAAACTCAAATATGTCATCGAACTTAACAAAATGGCCTATCTATGCCACTCGTTATAGTTGGATATAAACATGCCACCGACATTACCATTTTGGCCATATATTCCATTACCTGCTACTATCAGATTTTGCTATGTGGCATTATCTAAACCCTTCATTACTTACCACCACCACCCCTCTCAAACAGTCACCCCCTTTTACGAGTGACATATGTGATCCATTTTGTTAAATGCAGTGGCATATTTGAGCCTTCTCCCAAGGTCCCATCGCATCCCAACCACTATAACACCAAATATTTCAACATGAAAAGACAGACATACTCTTCATTCACACGCTCATATGTACTTCCACAACCAGCTACACCTCATTAGTGTACTCTCTTTTAAACCTGTCTTATTAAGAAAACAATTTTTCTGTCCTTCTCCTAAGCCACCGCGACATCCAACTATAACACCTCAAATTCTACCATGAAAACACATACTTACTCTTAATTCACACACTCGTATGTACTTTCCATATCCAGATATACCTCATTAGTGTACTCTCTTTTAAGCTTGTCTTTTTTTCTTTTTCTTTATTCTGAAACAAATTTTATGTCCTTTTCCCAAGCCACCACCATATCCCAACCACTATAACACCCCAAATTCCACCATGAAAATTCATACATACTCTTAATTCACGCACACAAATGTACTTTCATACCAGCTACATCTCATTAGTGGACTCATTTTTAAGCCCGTCCTTGTTTTTATTTCTTACACAAATTTGTGTTTTTCTTAAATCTTTTTAAGAGCCGTAAAGTACGTGAAATTTGTGAATGATGTAGAATAGGATAAGATTCATAATCCAATTAAATAAGAGAGTATAGTTTTTCCATATAAAATAATTGTGTTATAGTATAAGCCAATAAGGAACAAACTTGTCCTTATAAGTTTGTTATATTTATTACATAAAATCAGAAACTACAGACGTTTAAATAGGAATATATATGATTCAAAAAGGTTGAATGTCATGCATCAAATGATAAACAGAAAAATAACATTGAACTTAACAAAATGGTTCACAAATGCCACTCGTAAAAGGGGTCAGAGGGGAGGGAACCGGTAAGTAATAAAAGATTTAGATAATGTAATATTAGGGGTCCATTAGTGGGTAATGACATATGTAGCCCAAAATGGTAACGTCGATGGAAATTCTATGCCCAACTATTACCGAGTGACATGGCTAGGCCATTTCACTAAGTTTGCTGGCATATTTGAGCTTTTTTTGAATGTTCAATATTACAAGTTACAATCTTAAGAGGTGTCAAAAAGAAACTGAAAAATCAAATCACCAATAATGTCTATATATTGCCTTTGCAGAATAGTGCAAGTAGATATTTTTCTCTCTAGTATACGTAAGATGAAGGTAATGGATCTGAAATAATATAGCAGGATAAAGGTTATTCAATAGCTTATCGTTCTATCACCATCCTTATAGAGGCAACTTGTTAGATCCAAGTTTAGCCAGTGTATTTATGGTATATGTAAAGTCAAACTCTATAACATGTAGGCCATATGTACTTCAACTCAATATATAAGTTCTACTCAGGTGGAAATTAGATGGAGGCAATTAAAAATTGACAGTGATAGAGCAAATTGATAAAGTCTTTAAGTAATTTTGTCTGAAGTCCTGATGACACAATCTGATTATTTGTGAAATTATTGAAGTGCAGTTGTTATAATCTCATAACTAAGCTGACTAGAAATTCTGAACTCTACATAAAGTCTGTTGTTAGGCCAATAATAACGGTTTTCTAAGAAAAGAGAAGTTCAAGTTGGGAATGACTTTTTCATATTATAGGACAAACCAAGTTAATTAATACCTGTACCGGTGATGAAAGTCGTAGCTACTCAAACTGGAGTTGGTATTTAGAGGATGTGTCAATGTCTTTGTAGATATGTAGTTTGTCATCTTAAACAACAACTTGTAGACAAGAATGAATTATAATTGTGCAACAGTCAAAACTCTAACTGAAAATAAAAAATTGTAGAATTAGCTGCCAATTATACCAAACACCATCCCTCAATGCAGTTCCAAATATCTCTCTTATTATATAAAAATAACTATTTGTACTTGTTTAAACAAATCTGAAACTTTCAAATGGGTATTTGCTACTATTTCTATGAACTTGACTTAACAGTTAGCAGCTTAGCATACATTGCAGAATACATAGTTTGTAGAGGCAGAAATTAAAGTAAAACGCAGGAATTACCTCAATGGCGATCACGCAGGGATGTTTATTTGAGATCGTAACTCTGAAATAAACATAGACCAGTGCACACCACTCGCCGAGTGGCTCTTTCTTCATTGTAGATATTGTACCGCCGATAAGACTGTGTACAATCCCTTTGTTTACCCGCCCATGGCAGTGCACAGTGCACTGCAATGCCCAGTTCTAGTGCGTTTGACATCACAGATTCCCAATTTACATAATTTCAAAAACCCAGCAGATTCTACAGCAAAAATACCAACAGAGGAGAGACGATTTTAACTTGAAAAATGGATCCAATTTGACTTGAAAATGGGTCAAATTTGAGGATTGATCTCCTCAACTCTTAAATTGAGCTAAGATTCAATTATGTTTAAAGAATTTAATCTTCCGTTATAAGAGCTTGATTAATTTTCACCTCAATTTGAGTCAATACGAATGACTCTTGAGGCAAAGGTAGGTGAAAATTTTATTTTTTAAAACTTTTTCTTAGATTGAATTAAGTAAGAATAGGATTATAAGTTGATTGGCTATCTAAGCTTTAATCTGGTTCATTGAGGGTTAATACATCTGATATATTTTGTGCCGTAACATACATACACACATAATATGCATTGTGTTATAAGATAAATATATACACAATATACTATGTTATAAACTAGTTATTTGTACAATATACTTGATGCCCAAGTATAGAGTCCATTTGGATTGACTTAAATTTTTTTTATTTTAAATCAAAAATTTAAAAGTCAAACTTAAATAACTTTTACGTTAAAAATAAAAAGTTGATATAGACCTATTTTTTTTAAAAAAATTATTTTAAACTTATTTAAAGTTATTTTTAACCTTATCAAATACTTCAAAAAGCTAAAAATGGCTTAAAAATAAAATTTTTAAGTCAATCCAAATAGACTCATATACATCTACATATATAGCTATTTTTGTAACAAAGAAAAAAGACAAGAACAAATGAAAAAGAAAAAAATAATTCACTTGTTATTTTTTCTCATCTATATTTCTTCTTAATTTTAGTACATTAACTATCTAACTATATTATATAACATACCGAGAAAATGACCAAAATGGTCCTTGATGTATGGGGCTTGAACTTACCTTACTAAAATAGTGCTTAATGTATATAAAAATATGACCATTTTGATCTTTAACCCTAAAACTAACTATATAAGTGATATTTTTTAAAACTTAATGGTGGGTCCCACAAAATTGCCACATGGCAAACCCCTTCTCCCTCAATCTTCTTTCTTCTTGTTGCAACTTTCAATTGATTTATTCGTCTTTCCATTACCTCCTCCATCTTTTCTAAACCAAATTTTACCAGAAAAAAAAAATCTGACACAAAAATCTCTTCAAATTTCAAAGAATATTTTAAGATTCTATTTTCCACCTTTATCCATTACGTTTTCGCCCTTTAATGTCAACAACGGAATAAAGAATTAATACATAAAAAGTTATTAATCTTAAAAATGACTAAATTAGAAAAAACTATATTCTTTTCATAGATCTCTTCAACAAGAGAGAATACTTGTTTTAAACTTGAAAAGAGTTTACTTATGAAGATCTCGTAAAAGAGAAATGGAGTGTTTTATCTAATTTACTTAGTTCATATTTATTTTAATGGATCATTTTTTCTTTTGTCTAAAATGGGAGTTGCTGGGGATTATTATTTCAGAGGGGGAACTAACAAATGAGTGTAGTGTGTATATATATTTTTTTACAAGAATATAACAAGTGGGTGAACTGAAAATGGAGCATGACCTCTAATGGTGGTAAAAGAAAGAAGACCAAAATAGTCACCTGTTAAGTTTAACAGAAATTTTTACTTCTATGGTTAGTTTTAGATTAAGGACCAAAGTAGTCATCTTTTTCTATACATTAAGGACTATTTCAATAACATGATATATACAGAGGACTAAAAATCTCGAGCCCTTATATATCAAGACCATTTTGGTCGTTTTCTCTATAACATACACGTCAAATTTTAATATTTTCCCATTTAAAAAACTTTTTAAGTCAACAAACGTGACATGAATTGACAACCCCGCGCGCGAGGAGAGTAGGGTGGAGTGGGGAGTGGAGGGAGGACTAGAGTGTCAACAGAGAGTGTAAAATGTAAAATCGAGAGAGATCAGATCAAATTGAATATGGAAGAAGAAGAGGAGGTGATGACGCTCACAACTTGTAAAGATCGAAGGAGCTTCCATGTCCGTCCCAATTCAGTATTGCGAAAAATCAAAGGTTTTTCTCTATCAATAACTTCGAATGATATGTGAGGTTTCATCTTTCAAACCAGTATGCTTTTCTGGTTCTACACTTTCAAATTACCGGAATCCTCTGTATGTTCTGGTTTAGATTTTAGGATTTTGCTTAAATTTCTCAAAAATTCACTGTGAAATTACTTAACAAAGTAACTTTAATTGGGTTTGTATCAGCAAAAATATGATGGTGAGCTTTGAGAATTTCCACCGAACACAAATTTCTTGTTACTAATCAGTAATTTATCTTGAAACTCATGTCAAGTCATAT